TCACTACTTGAGACCACTGACAAGATCTACCGTATCACATCTTAAATATCGCAAAAGCTTTAATTTCACTCATCCAGGGCAAGATAGCTACCATTTATATTCTTTGAACCATGATCACAATTTATATGGTCAATTCCACTTGCAAAGGCTTCAACAATAAGACAATGGAGGAAGTTCCTTTCTTTTACTATTTTCTGAAAGTAGGGATGCACCAAAATAAATTCTGGGCTGAAATTCTGGATGCATTTGGCCGCAAACCAAAACCGAAAATTACTTCTTTATTTTTTATTATTACACTTTTTAATTAAATTCAATAATTTAATGAATCTGAATAAAAATAAAAATAAAAAAATCAAGCCAATGAAATAAAATAACCACACTTTTCTTTAAAGTAACACAAAAATTGGATAGAAAATAGGCCTATATTAAAATAATATTAAATATCAATATATTATGCTTCATTCAGTTCTATGCAACAGAATCAGATTTAACAGATTTATTTTTTGACCTATTATCAAAATAAAGTAGTCCTACAAAACTATTATTTTCAGAGCATCTGTGAGCAGATAGCAGGGAGTGGATCAGTGAACGAGAGGGTTACGTAATTTTTCATATCGGCTCGTTTTTTAGCGGACTTTGCCTTTCCGATGAGCGTGAACTGTAAATGCGTTTGGGCCGTGAGCGACTGAGCAGAGCACGCAACACACACGGAGAGGAACATTGAGCAGAACGCGCTGCGCACACACGGAGCGGAAGGCACAGCGCGCACACACAGAGGAACACTGAGCAGTCGCTTCGAAGTTGTGCATCTTCAGAAGCAGAGCAACTCGCAGTCACAAAACATGCTGAGCCAGAGTGAAACCTGATCGCTGCACACGGAGGGGCAGGGCAGCATATTTTCGGCTTATATTTTCAGCCTTTTTTGTCTTTATATTCGGCAGCCGAAATTTCGGTGCATCCCTAACTGTTCTATGGCAAGTCAATCAGGTCTGTTGAACCTCTGCCCCGTTAAGTAGAAGAAAGGAATGTATTAGACATTTCTGCCTTTTAGGGCCAGATTACTAACAGCTTGCGTCAGTGCAAACCCTCTTATCAAAAAAACAACAAAAAAAACCTACTGTCAGGATTTACTAAAGACACGCAGTTAAAAAGTTAGAGCTGAGAAGGCGTGGACATTTTTTGCGGCTGACTTTATTGGATATGCATTTGTAGGAGTTTCCCTTCAGATGCAAAACTTATGGGAGGAGAGTATTTAAATGAATCATACAAGGAGATTTACTAAGGTTTGCGCTAGTCGATTTACTGATATTTGCCAAGCGGCAACCTTCCAGTCTCTCTATTGAATCCAACACGGTAGTGACTTAAACTGCAATTCATCGACTGGCCGCTAGAGACAGGCTCCAAAAGAGAGTCAATCCCATACAGCAGGAAAAAAATATGTTTACAGCCTGGTACAGAAAGTGGATTTGGTCTATATAGCTAATTTTGCCCTTCATGACAACTGTGAGGGGGGTGAATTTTTTTATAACTCATCCGTTTGAATTATATTAAGCCTAAAAGTTCTGCATAATTAAGGGCATGGCCACTTGAGTGACATGTGGATTGCCGCTGCTGTCAACACTGTAGTCGCTTGTCTGCTGTCTGTTAGCCGTCACGTCACCTCAGCTAATCCCGCCTCTTTGCCCATTTCGGTTATCCGGGAGTGACGGGCTGTCAAGATGGCGATGGCCAGCTCCGTTCACTTTGGGCTTCAAAAAGGCTCTTCACAAACCTAGGGGTGACTCACGGACACTACGTCCATTTTTTTTTTTTACAGTCTATGATATTTGCGCCATTATTTACCGTCCAAAAAAACGTCTTAAACCAGATAATTGGCTAATTGGTAGTTTGCGTTTTTTGGAATTGGGCTCTTATTGCTATATATTACTAATTTGCAATATTAAGAGAACCAGGGGAAGGTTTACAGTTAAAAAAAAAAAAAAACTTCCAAAATCCTTTCACCACACTGCACAGTGAAACCCAACACCTCAGAGCATTAAAAGATATGAAGGCGGGTAATATGAAGAAGCCTCGTTCTCCTCTAGAGATATTTCCCTATTTTACTGGGGTTGAAAAAGATGTTGAGTGGTAGTGTTGTGGGACTGCCACTAGCCCACCCGTAAAAGGGTATGTGGGGGGTTGGGCAGGCCCTGTTCTACTGGGGAAGCACCCTCAAAAGCGAGAGTGCACCCTCAAGAGCACTCTCCATTTATACTGTAATAATATATTGTCAAAACAGATTTGGCAAATGCTCCAGTGCATATTTGTGATTGCACTCTGGAGAATGTCAAATGTATCGATTTACAATGCGTTTTTATATATACCTCGAGACAGGGTTTACCTCTTAAAAGTATGGACCATACTTATATTTTGCACAAAGTAATAAACTACTAAAAACAAAAAAATTACATAATCTAATAATCAAAACTCTCATCATGAGCACAAAACAAAGTTAACTAGTAATTTCAAAGTTTTTTTTCTTCACTTGACATCTCTAAATAATTTTCCAAATTATCATATAATAACATTGTTTATTATGAAATGCTCTTAATATGCTGATTAATAATGCTAAATGTATGAAAAAAAAAACGTCTAAAGGGGCAATGCGTTAACTTGTCACAAACCTGGTTTAGATAAACGGATAGATCGGAGTCATCTGTATGACAGATAAGAATAATTGAAGGCCTATTGGCTGCACTGTCATTTTCTGCAGTGTTTAGCAAAAGTATCTGTTTTTCTGCTTACCGTGTTCCTGCTAGGCTGCTACTGTTATTAAAATAACTGCGTCATCTGCAGATCTTAATGTGGCGCTTTATGTATTTAGCAGGAAAGAGAAGCATCGTGCATGGAGCGAAAAGAGCTTGAATGAAGCACTTTTGGCTCTAGATAAAAATAGTAGAGAATGTAGCGTGAAATATCATTACCATGATGGCCCTGAGCACCTTTGGTATGAACCGCTCCATTGTTTTGACTTGCTACTCACTTTATACTGTAGAAACAGTAAAATGGTGCAATTATGTCCCGCAGTCCGGATGGAACCAAACCGTGGTCCGCCATTTGAATGCCACTGCTCTAAATCTAAAAGAGCATTTCTGACACTTTCCTTTTAAATGTACATTTTTCACATATTTATATTACATATTTATTATATATTACTATACATTTTAATCTTCTAAATATATAATAATTAAGCTGACATGGACTCTTGAGGGAGATTGCAAATGAGCATGGCCTTTGTTAATTTGCATAATCATATAGTCATTTCTGGATCAGGAGTTTGAATTCATTCATTACCAGTTGCAATGTTGATATGCATGACAGTACAATTAAATTTGATAAATAAAGTCCTCTAAACTGATTAATGTGCAGCAGAATAAATCAACATTATAGTCTAAACTTTCATGATTAATGAGTATTTATGAATGTCACATTTGAAGACCGTCCTTCCTTTCTGCTTAGGCAAATTAGCCGCTAATTACTGTAGATCACAATTCATAAAAATCAGCCTTATGGTTGAGTGTTGATGCAATTAATTGGATGTGAAATTGTTAATTAATTGCAACAAGAATTACAGTTTATCAGGCACAGAATTGATGCTGCTATCATTTGTGACACTGTGATATTCACTGTTTTGCTACTAAGAGAAATCACTATGAACTTCAGGGGGGGGAAAAAGACGGTCATGCATTTAATTTTGCCATTACCCATTAAAAAGTCAACTGGCTGCAGGAAATTTCCACCCCAGCTGGGCATAATTGGGGCAGAAAATGCCTCAGTCTGAACTCTGTATTATTTTGGCCTTGCTGTGCTGCACTAAGAAATTGGTGACCTTTGCAAAAAGCCACTTTTAATTACACAGTAAATTAATTTCCATGTTATGATGAGATGCGACTTTTTAAATCGGTCTGAATGTTTAAAAGCACAGGCATAGCTCAAACATGACAACTGGTGCCAACAGATGTCATTGAGGTGAGTTAAAGGTGGCTTCTGTTTCTCATCTCAATATCCTGATCTCAGGCGAATCTTCCTTTACCTCCTCAACATGTAAAACAATAGCAACCCCTGATGACAATTTATTGTTAGTCTGTTAACCCATCTCTAACAGAGTTAATCAAGCATCCTCAACATCCTCAACATCCTCAACAAACAGATCAATGTTTCAAGATAGAGGAGAACAATGCAGACAAGGCTGAATTTTCATACCAGCACTGTGAAAGGCACACCAAATATCCAAAATCTGTAAATGCGAACACACGAAACATTCAAACACTACAAAGGGATGATGTTTATCCATCCCTAGACACAATGAGTAACACTTCATGAATGCCCATCATCGGTTACATCTGGAGTGCACCTATATTTACAACAGCAATAGTCACAAAACAGTTTTATGTGGTTAATATACTTCTAATGTTGTCAAGACAGCATTACCATCCAATGCCATAGATTATCATCCAATATTACCATCCAATAGAACTTTGGGACTATCAAAGTAAAGATGCGGTCAAGTGGAGACAATGGACCATTTTGCCTGCAAAAATATTACTAATGCAAACACACCTGAAGTTGGCACTAAGCAAGAAACAATTACAAAAGCAAGAAACAATTAATAAAGCAAGAAAGACTGCACAGAAAAACAAACTAATAACCAGTCCAAAAATTTAATTCTGCACGCCATTGATGCTGAGGAATATCTCCCATCCCGGTATTACCCGTCTGAGTTTCCTCACACCCCAGTGAACATATGCTAATGAAATAATGCATGTGTCACCAAGCATTAGCCCGCACAGGCATGAAATCAGAGCGACAAAAGCTATCTTCAGACTAATGAGGAAGATCTCCATATTTGCTGACCTTACTACACACGAGCCGCATTAAATATTAGCTGAATTACATTACTATTCTGTTGAATTATTACATTTTGTTTTCAAAGACTAAAATGACTTAAAATATGTTCTTACCTTTGGTTTTCTGTTCAGTAACCTGTAAATGAAAGCAAGAGAAGCATTTTCAGCAAAAGCCATGATATATTTCTCTGCAAATACAACTACTACACTGAACAAGTACATAGTATAATGAATATTCATACCATAATATTGTAGCATGCTGACCTGACATTTGCAGTAGTAATACATTATATATTCCAATAGTGCAATTAATTTAAGTCTTGTACATATTTTCTTTGCCGTCAAAAAATGTGTTTATGCATGAAAGCATACATAAATATCAGCAAAGTATCACTACAGTTATAATGATTAAAAGGATGGACTAAAATGGATGCATTATTTTAAAGCACCTCATTATTGTCAAGCTCAAAAATATGGACATGATCACTATGCAAATCTGGAGTGTTTTCCTGTTTTGTTGTTTGAGTGTTTGTTATTACCATACTACAAACATCCTTTACTTAACACACTTAGTACGGTACTATAAAGTGTGTATGGGACATCAAATGTACAAATGACACTAAATTAAAACAAAATTAGCACTACCAGACATTCTGGTGTATCCGTAGTACTGTATCCAGACTCGATTTGCTTTCTATGCTGTCTAGCTGACAGGTCATGTTAAAAATTGGAATCAGTTCTGAATAAGAACTGGCTTTCGATTCCCAAACCTAGTCAAAAATAATAGAAAAAATACTTGAAGGCTACATGCAACATTTAAATTGAATATGTATATTTTTATGTAGCTTTTTAAATAACCCATTCAACAGCATATTTGTGGTATCAAAATTGGTAGAGATATAACACCTCATACCTTGCTAAAATACATAAGTAATCAAATGTTTTGAGACTTCATCTCTTTGAGTAGAGTGATCTCTAATTCAGTCTTGAGGGAGGTTCAAAATTATGCCTAGCCCAGAATAACAGAATGACTTAACAAGCACAAACCAAAAACAAAACTAAACTTCCAGTCTTAAAACCCACCTCATACTGCCTCATAATCTTGACAAGAGGCCCAGAAGGCGCCTGGAGCGAATCATATTGGCACAAACAGTGGCCTGCTAATCGAGTGGAAACAGACTACAAACAGCCCTCTGTCAGAGAGGAGGCCGAGGGGAAGAGGAGTAAGAGAAGGAACCAAGGCCAGAGTGCTAGTTTACATTCCCTGGTGCCATTCCAGAACTGTTATAAAGACTGTTCTTTTCTTTCTGCCCTTTTAAGTACAGAACACCAACTCCAGAACACTCATCTGAAAGGTTCTGAATGAAGATGCTGAAGTATTTAATGTGCATTTGCTGAATCCCAGAGCATCTAACTGAAAAAAAAAAAACATTGAGAGATGAAAAACCCTTAAACCAAAAATGTAATCTGCTGTAACTGATATTAAAATCTGTAGGAATGCACAAAATATCTGTAGTATATCGGTTAACAGATTGTCAGGTTTTTGAATCAGAAGTCGGTATTTGATAATTGTGTACTCATTCATGCCGCCATCTAACATTAATCTCATTGCAAATAATTAACTGTTGTATGTTAAATGCAATTGTAACGCGCATGTTGTGTTTTGGTTTAGGGTATGTTTACACAACACCGTTTCCAACTGAAAACTTTGGTTACACTTTAGATTAGGGTCCAATTACGATTAACTAACTATTAACAATAAACTCCTAATTACTGCTTATTAATAGTTTGTAAGGTCGTTGTTTAGTTATTGGGTTGGATTAAGGGATGTAGAATATGCTGTAGGGGTGTAACGGTACACAAAAATCACGGTTCGGTACGTACCTCGGTTTTAAAGTCACGGTTCGGTACGTTTTCGATACAGCAAAAAGTAAGAAATGCCAGAGAATTTCCTATTTGTTAAAAGAAAAAATATTTTTTAAATAAGTGTGAGTTTTCCTACATCTTGAAACTTTCAGGTCTATAAATGGGTGTCATCTTTGAAGGATGAACAAATAATGTTTTGGTCATCCTCACATTAAAAATAACATTTAAATAAATGAATAGTTCAGATGCAAAAGCCATTTGAAATTTTCTTCTAGAATGATCATTTTTATCAAGCTTGTATATTTAAGTTCAGTAATTTCACTTAAATGGCAATGAAGATTACCTATTAATTGTCATTTGAGTGAAATTACTGAACTTAAATATACAAGCTTCATAAAAATGATCATTCTAGAAGAAAATTTCAAATGGCATTTAGAGGCTTTTGCATCTGAACTCTTCATATATTTATTTATATAATATTTGAGTTTTGAAGTGCTGGAAAAAGATGTGTGAAGTACTTCACTATTCCAGCCAAACTGGTTACAGTTAGTGTTACTATATTAAATCCATGGTGAATGTTGCTGGTCTGTGGACGTAAAGTATTACTAGTTCATTCACGGCACAATGTTTCTCCTGGTGTCCACGTCAGCGCTGTTTGATCTAATAGAGATCTATGGTTAATAACGGAGAAATGTGAATGCTTCTCACTAGATCTCGCAGCGATGTTATTACTTCAGTGGCGAATTCAAATGTTTTCTTCACTGGATCTCTTAGCGCTGTGTAGTTACAGTGTCGCTTGATCGAGATCGGCTCGCGCTGCACAGATGTTGCTGGTCAGAACTTATAAACGGTCCGTGAAGCACAATAATGAGTAGCGCAGTTTCGTTCCGCTATCATTATGCTTGCCATTTGATGTTGCGCAACGTTGTGGTGATCGCGCCAGCGCGGATTTTGTCGGCAGGAAAAATGGTCCAAGGAATCGTTCGGTTTGTATGCGCACCGAACCGGAAGCCTCGAACCGAAACGGTTCAATACGAATACATGTACCGTTACACCCCTAGAATATGGTCATGCAGCATAAGACATTAATATGTGCTTTAGAAGTACTAATAAACAGCCAATATACAAGAAATATGCATGCTATGATGCTAATATGCAACTAGTCAATAGTAAGAATTGGACCCTAAACGAAAGTGTTACCAAAACTTTTTATGCATTTTGGCCGTTCATTTACACAACAACGCAGTTCTGGGGGCCTGAAAATGCAAGCTTTTGAAAACAGGTTTTAAAGTGAAAGGTTTTATAAATGGGTTTTAAAGTGCAAGGTTTTGAAAATGATGCCTTTACCGTTTCTGTGTAAACTACAAAAACATGAATTTGTGAAAATTAGTGACATCATGCACATGCGTGTTACATGTTTACGCATGCGTATTACGTTTTTGCGGGGTGTTTCTTGACAAAGTGACATCTACTGGCCTGGCATGCATAATACAGCCTTTTTAGTCATTTTCGCAGATCAGTGTTAACGGGGATCGTTTTGACAACGTTGTTGTCTGTTTTTAATATATCGTTGTCGAGTAAACAAACCCTAAGTTTTCAATCTCTTCCCTGTTCTGCTTTGCCTGAGTTCTGTTCTCTCGTTAAATCTCCTTGGTTGTTAATTAATCCGGCACCCGTTTCTGTTGTAGTTAATTATCTCTCCCCGTGTATTTAAGCCCTTAGTACCCTCGGTTCTTTGTTCGATCTCGTTTATGTGTAGTGGTTGTTTTCTCCAATGTTTCTCTGCGATCTCCTGAGTAGTCTTAGTTTAAGTGTTAAAACAAGATCTCTCTGATATTCCCCTGCGTCGTGCGTTCTCTGCAACCACACGTGACAGTCATATTTCATTTTGTACATTGTTTAATATAATATCATTGCTAAATTCACTTGTAGCATTTAAAAATGACTGGTGATTTATGTTTAATTTAAGCAAAATAATAGACAATGTTTATGTCAGACATCCATCAGATATTGTCCTTATAAAAAGAATAATCTGCATTTTTGGCTAGACAGTGAGAAGGTTGTTTTTCCTCAATTTTTTTTCTTTCTTTTCTTGTAACAGAATTAAAATAAAACTGACCGTTTTTCCTGCAGTGTTCTTCTTTGTCTCTACTTCTTGCCTTTTCTTTTTCTTTTCTTCCATCAAATGGTTCTCTCCTTGTGATGTTCAGCTTCTCTCGGCTAGAAGAAACACAGATGAATGGTTACTAATTGACAGGATGGAAGAATCAAACTACCACCCAAGCCAGGAAGACCATGCAAGAGTTTAAAATGAAATCAAAATGAAAGCAAAGACTTATGGAGTATAGCACCTGCAATAAAAGGACAGTGAAAGAACTATGATTCCCAAATCCAGCTTTATTACTCATTCACCCAGAGAAAAATCATCTAAAGTAGGAAGTGGAGGTAGGACTTATTATTAATCAAGCCTTAATTTACTGTATCTGAAAGCTGGTAATGGTTTCTGAGACTGAGACCAATCAAAGCAATGATAACATCCAAGCCCAACCTGAGGACACCAGTCTCTACGGTGAGTCTAGTTCAGTGCCATACTACAGATACAAATCCAATACAAAATAACCTCAAACTCTGACTGTGCATTGATTTGGCAAATTGATTGTGCTAAAGGGGACCATCTACATTTTGTCAGTTCCAGTATTTTGACCTAACTACTGCACTGTATCATTCATGACTAATGGACAGATGATTCTTATCTTTCCAAATGTAAGATTGCACAATCTATCACACCCCAAATCTAAACACATTTTCCACCCAACAACACACAAGATCTCATCCCATTGACAATGCAAACATAAAGGTCCCAAGTGAGGTATTAATCCATGAACAGCAAAATAATATACCAAAATAATGGAAAGCGTGTCCTGTTGTGTTGCCAGTTTGTAATGGAAAATCTGTCAATCAGTGAGACAGGAAGACTGCAAGTGACAACAGTGCATTATACGAGAACAACGCACTGGCAGAGAGCCTTGATGGTATGGCCGGACTAATGCTTAGTTGCTAGTCAGCTGTCCTGATTTACCCTCAGGCCCAAACACCTCCCATTGGCTGGTAATCTCTTCCCTACATTTGCTGGCCAATCAGAACACAGGAGTTTGAGGGATTGCCATTCACATTACCTCTTGGCAGAGGTCCAGAGTTAGAAGATAGGAAATCGCAGTGGCCCATGTTGAAATTACCCCGGTGCATTTTGTGGAGGGGGACACTGTACGGCTTTATAAATATCCCACACCCTTTGTGTGCCGGAATTTTCCAAAGCCGATTCATCCAGCTGTTCATAAAACATAACCATCTGCTCCAGAAATGTGTGCTAATACAGTCCCAGCTAGGAATTATGCAAAGATACAGTGATCTTTATTTCTGATCAATTTATTATTAATGGCAAGAACAATTAATATTCTATTCTTTGGCACAGATAATTTATTTCAGGTTTTATTTACTCAACCTTACAATAAATGTAAAAATGTATTGTCTGTAATGTGGTTGGACAAATTTGAAGTAGGGCTAAACGATGTACTGTATATTCAATAACATTAGATATTTGTAATTTTAAACGTTTGCTCATAAATGGTTTTGATTTTTTTTTTTTTTTACCCAAACAGAGAAACCATCATTACAAGTTTTTCACTAAATGGATACAAAGACAAATCATGATTATATGCCCATAATAGCGGCAAGTAGCCTATATATTTGTAAACGCTTTGAAAATATCTGGATTTCTGCTTTGATTACTTAATCTTAATTTAACCCACAATTACAGACAAATACAATCAGACATCACTGGTGAACCTAGACTACCTGTGGTCAGGCTATGTGATTTACTGTGACAATTTCTACACAAGCCCTCTCCACTTTCAACACCTGCACCAAATGGGACTTATCGAGAAGGAAGAGCTGGTGCTCCCTCCACCAAACAAAACAGAAGTGGTACACGACCATTTTCCAGCACTACAGTGACCAACAGCTTCATTTTACACAAAGGGCTGCTATGTGCCATCCACCATGACAAGCCCATGGACAAGACACAACTTTCAGGAGCTGCTGGCTGCTCAGCTCACAGGCGTTCCCCTGGATGGCAGCCCCAAAGAGAAGATGCGATCATCTGCCTGTTCCTTTATGACATTCAGGACATATTGTAGAGGGCAAGTATGGGTTGGCGTCGTTGTAGGCCTATATGGTGCAAAATAAGCATCCCATGGAGGTGGCAGGAGTGTGATGTGGGCCTATGCTTGCAATTAGATAGGAACTGCTTCAGAGAGCACATTCGAGTGACTGGATTTTAAAAAAAGGCTCCTGAGTGAAAACTGTGCAACCAAGTGTCACAAAAAAAAATGACTTGTATGTATTAAAGTACATTTTTCAAGATTGAAGTGTAAGATCGATTTATTCATGAGTTTTCTTATTTTTTCTAAACAAAATCAAGTAGAATTTATTCCCACTTATTCCCGTCTGTTTAGAACTTCAATTTACAAACTCACTACACAAAAAATGACACATTGTACTTCAAATAGGCACACTGGGTTATACTTGTCACTTGTTTCATTCACTCAGGTTGAATTGTGTTGGTGTTACAGGGCCTGCATTTCAGCACAGGATTGTGGGTATTGCACATTATTTTACTCATTCCTGTAGGTGAGTGCACATACATAAAGCTGCCTGAAAAGTCCAAAGTTGCATGACCAAGCTTAGGTCAAGCAACACTTAAGATGAAGAGTTGCGAGGGATGTGGTTACCATACAACACGCCGGGCAGAACAGGGGAGGTATACAGAAAAACACACTGAAAGGTGGTGTGTTTCAGAGTGTGCTGTCCTGGCTCATATCCAGACCCATGGAGGCTGTGAGCATTACACTTGTGCTTACAAGGGCTTCTGGCAGGCCACAGAGGAGGGGAGGGGAAAAACTTAACCTTTGACCTTCCTGCAACCTGCAGCTCCCCTTGCCAGTGCACTGCACTGACCAGGTCAGGTCATCAAGAGGCCTTCTCAAACTACAACTAAAGAGCAGCTTAGCACTGCTAAGGATATGCGCGACTGGGGGGGTGTGCACTATCTGCTAAATTTAGAAAGCTGGACTGTCACGTACAACATGACTCCCTAAGTGGCCGATCTATAGGCTATAAAAAGGAATATTTCTCAAAAAAAATCATTGAGTATTGCACCCTTATGTCATTCCAAACATCTACAAGTTTTTTCTTCATCTACGGAAAACATAAGATACATTTTTAAAGAATATTCCAAAAAGTGCATTAGGACTAGATTGGTCAAGCTCCATATAGAAAAAAGCACAATTAAAGTGACCTAAAAGTAGTCCATACAACTTTACAGTATAAGTTGTCTAAAGCCACACAATAGTTCTGCATAAGAAATCAGGGCTTGAAAATAAGGACGCTCTGAACAGTTGAAGGATATGTCGGGCCAGTGCTGCATCACCACGAAAGTTTGTCATTTGCACGTGTTTTTAAACCTTGCCACTGTAAATATTCAAGTGCAAGAAGACGTAAAAGAGAACTCAATTTGGTACTCGCGCACTGTGAGAAGTTTTGTGTGCGCACATCCAAAGCGCACGCCCAGATAGCTGCGCCTCAAGAAGCATGCAAATACTGAATTGAGTTCTCTTTCACGTCTTCTTGCACTTTAACAAACAAATTCACACAAAACTGTCAAAACACCAGTCTTGAGAGAAATAAAATGCATTTGTAACAGTATACTGGATCTACGCATTCGGTTTTGAAGTGACAGCAGCCTAATAGGCTGCTGTCTGTGTTTTTAATGTTAATCAAACAACAAATGACACAGAAAAAACTCACTGTTCTTGACTGAAAAACATTTGTAACTTGAATAAGGGTTAATCCATATTTAATTTATGAAGAACAGGCCTATGCAGTGTTATTTTACATTTGATTAGGCCTACTTTAAAGGGGTCATATGATGCTATTTTCAAAGATCATTATTTTGTGTATTGGGTGTAATAGAATGTCAACATACTTTAATGTTCAAAAAAATACATTTTTATTTTTACATACTGTACATTAATGTAGCTCCTCTACGCCCAGTCTCTCTAAAACTCATTAATTTCTACAAAGCCCCTCCTTCCAAAAAGCGTAGTGTACTCTGATTGGCCAGCTGACCCAGTGCATTTAGCAATGATTGGCCAAACACCTCAAGCGTGTTTCTGAAATGTAATTCCCCTTACCATAATGGTGAGCTTCAGCTTCCAAAGCAATTATAAAGACGGTTATAAAATGTCGTCAGTTTTAAAGACCCACTCCGATGAAAATAATGTTTTTCTAGGTGTTAACATGTTCTTGTGGCATTTTTCAGATGTTAGAGGACATATCTTGAGAAAAATAAGCTCAAAGTTGTATTTCTGAGTATTTCTACATTCAAATGGCTGTGAATCAGTAGCAGACGCTAAAATGCCGGCTAAAATAGACTGGAGTTGTGATGTAGTAACTCCACTGGGCGTCTCCACACGCGACGTCTTGGAGTGAAATAATGATCGGTGATAACTTTGATTAACTTCGGATAATAATAATTAACGTGTATATAATACCGTTGCCCCACCAGTATTGGGGGTGTAAGCTAGCGGGAGAGACAGAGCTCTCAGCAACGGGCAGGGGGAGGGTCGTCTCCGTGCCAACGGCTCCGCCCACAACGCAGAGGCGAATTGCTAATGAGCTACTGCCGCTCTGCTGAAGCGAAGTCCCAGAAAACGGCACAGGTTTTGTGATTTTGGCTAAAAATGGCATAATCATAATTTAAAGACCACTGGGAATGTTTAAAAATAGCCAAAGTCCTTTTAGGCAAGTCATGCCACTCGGCCGCCATCTTGGTAACGCCTCCGGGCAGCTATTTCCGACTAACAAGACCAGGCTCCTATCTAAATGAATGGGCAGAGACTCAGAACTGCACTTTCACTGGTCATCGGGACATAAAAACTGCATGTATAGAAACAGCAGTAAAATATGATAAAAATCGCTGAAAAAGTTTGATGACTTTGCCCCAAAAGAAGGTTTAAAACACCTTTTCCCCCACAGGTTATACTTTTACTACGCATGCGCAAGGGTTCACGACACCAACTTCATTTACGTCTCTATCCAGAATGCCGGTGTCGTGCTCTACTACAGCACATACTTAGAATGTAAGGTAACATATTAGTGGT